GTGTGTTTGTGTGCTTGTGTGCACCTGTGCGCGCATGCATGCGTATGTGCGCTGCAGTTATGTTTTTTAGGAATAATTCAGCAATTCTCGGAGTTCAATATTTATTGGATGTGGATACCTCTTCCTGCATAAAGTCTGCGCAACACAAAGACACAAATACTTATGAAATATCCATCCCTGAATAATGGAAAATGGATATGTCATTCATCTCTGTTATAGGGTCTGATGAAATCATTTAATGGTTGTCTTATAACTTTTCACTAATCTGTTTTCTTCTTGTCCTAATGAAATACGTGCCTTCAGTAAGTTCCCTTGCAGGATTTGAATCCTGAATCCTATTATCCCTTTGTTTTTGTGAATTCTCTTGTATCTTTTGGATCTCCTGATCTCTTTTTACTGAGCGATCTATGGCTCCAACACTAACCTTGTTGTAAAACCTAGTTATATGCAAAAGTGGTTGTCGTCATCTTTAATGGTCTGGAGTGAGATGTTCTGCATTTTCTGCTGCATTTCATTTATTGTAATAGATTTGTTCCTAAAGCTTGTTTTTCTGGACTGTTGCTTGTTTTCAGCTTTCCACATTGGAAATGGTTTCTTTACATATTTTATATATTCTCATTTTTTGGTAATTTTTATTTGCCTTTAACATATTTAGTGTTTGTTTAGTGGTTTCTCAGCTTTCTTATATTTATCACATTATACTATGTGTACAGCTACTTGTTTCACATAATGTCTAATATTAATTCATGTACTTCTATTGTTTTTGGCAGGCAATGTATGAAGGCATACTCGTCGACATACCATTTGCAACATTCTTCCTAAGCAAATTGAAACAAAAGTAAGGCTGCAGAATGGAAAGCTTTTCCCCAATAATGTCTTTTTCTTCTGTCTCCTATTTCTTTTGTTATTAGTTTTGGAGCAAAATTTAGTCTCATATTGTCTATGAGCAGGTTTAGAGCTCTTGTATACTTGAATAGCTTAGTTTGAAGTAACAATTTATTTTCATTAGGTATTTCTATGAGATAATCATTTAAAAATTTCATGCTCTTCAACAGCTATGGTTAATAGTCCATGTGATATTAACTAATCAATTCCGCTGCTGCAATATTTAGAAATTAAAAAATGGATGACACAGCATTTGAAGCTTTAGAACACCAAAGTAATCTGTAATATTGTCTTGTGGGGGAAAGAAGACTAGGATAATACATATTTTTCAGAATAAAATGGGTTAGGCATGAGGTATCTTGAAACCTTTGAGTAAGTTAAATTTGGACATCAAGGAAGCTATTTGCTATTTCATGTTAATCTCCAAAAGAGCTGGCTGCAAGTAGGTTACCCAGGATTGCCTCTAAGTAGTTCCATGAGAGAGTAGTAGGAAACAATAGGACAAAGAAGAGGGGAGCACAACAAGGAAGCAGAAGACCTAAAGAGTTGGCTTTTCCTTGTTCATTGTTTTATGGAGATGGAATATGTTGGAGGATAAGGGAGTTATGGTTCTTAATAACTGAATTTAAATGGAACTATAGCCTTCTGACCTTATCTACCTTACCTGGAGGGGGAGAGGTAGAAGTTGAAGGGAAAGATAGATAGTGTGGGACAATAGGTTATGGACGTAACAAACTGAACTTGACTTGGCCTATTTTCCTCTGGTTTTTAAAGTGAAGATGTCAGGTTGGGTCGATGCGATATATTCGCTCATAAATAACTCCATTCTGCCAGTTATTCCTTAACAGTGATAGGCAGTAAGTCAAAAGCAAGAGGCTGGGAGAGACATATACTGGAGGTTAAACTCCCTTCACAAAGCAGTTTGAGGCTTGATTGGCGTCATTTTCCTCCTTTTAGATCAATGATTCTTATTAATCAATGCACTTGTGAGAACTTGGTTGAGGCTGCATTATGTGCCCTTTAATTTGAAACTTGCGAGTGTACAAATGTGCAGATTATCCTCTTCGAGTTCAGTTTTTTTCAAAGATCAGATTGACAAACATCATAGATCTATACACCTTGGTTAGTCTACTATAGGAGAAGACCCAAATATCACCTCAATTTCTATTCCACATCCCATCTCAGAAGATCGTCACAAAAAACATATTAGACGGTCAATTTGTGAATTTTATCAGCAGAAATAGCAACATGGAAATGCTTGTTGGGATCCATGGTTTGCAACTCTTTTTTGAAAATTAAAACATACTAAAATATCCCAAATATTGCAGCCGGATATCAAAATAAACTAAACCACAAAAGTAATCACAGATACAAGAACTTTATAGTGGTTCGGATAGATGTCATATATCCACTCTTCCTCCTCGTCAGGAGGGGCTTCCACACTATATGCAAAGGTTTTCAGCCCAATCCAGTAGGTGATACAAGACTGCTCCCTAGTCTAGCCCTAAACTAGTCGTCTCCACCAAACAATCTCACACAACGGCATTAACCCTAGCTCCCTACTAGTAACCCTCTTCCTCAATTCACCCCAGCTCGAGTACGCCGTCAAAACAAAATGGATCACAACGATTGTAAATATGAAGTGTATTATCAAAAACTAATATAAATCAAACGCATATAGAAAGATCTTACAATCATTTTAATTCATACCATTCTCTAAAAGATTTGTAGTGAAAGTCTTAGAAGAACGAAGTTGATGCGATGCTAGGGATGGTAGCACTCCACGAAGACCACGATCCAGTGAAGTAGCTCGCTCTGAGGGTGCAATCAAAACTCCGAGAGGCGACAACAATTGAGATCTCTTTCAAACCCTAGAGAAGTCTCATTTTCTCTCTCAATTAGGCTCTCTAATCTCTGATAAAATCCCTCCTCTATCATAGAAAAATAACCCTAGAGATGTATATATAAAGATATAGCAACAAACAACTCATATTACATCTCAGAAATCAGATCAGGAATAGGATTCTCATTTACCCAGTTCACCAAAGCCGGATTTGAAAAAGCCTAAATCGTCTTTCCCATGTTTCATCCAGAATCGTGTTTCAGTCTTTTGTCTAAAGCCAACTTACCAATCATCAAAGCCGGCTTTGCAATGATCAAAGCCAACTTTCCATAAGTCTAAGCTGGCTTTGCCTGCTCTTCCAGAGTTCAGCAGTCTGTCTTTTCTTCTAAGCCGATTGTGCAGTGTTCTAAGTCGACTCTGTCACTCTGGCAAGTTTAAAGCAGAGTTTCAAGATTTCTGAGCTGATTTTAGCTACTGCTGAAATTGTAGAATTGTTGTGTATATCAAAGTCGACTTACAAGTGCAAAAAGCTGTTTTTGCACTTTTGAATTGATGTTTTGATCCATAACCTTCATGTATGACCATGCATGAGTCTGAAACTTTGGATACACGTTTATATGGCCATTTCCATCCATCATCTGCACATTTCAACTCGAAACACATTAAATTCATATGAATGTTATTAATCAAACTGAGCTGAAAGCATGGACATAGTCCTAACAGTGCTTTCATAATTATGTAACATATGGACATGGACATAGTCCTAACAGTGCTTTCATAATTATGTAACATATGGATGATCCACTATGTTATACAGTTCAATTGGTGGATATGGTATTGGTTGCCCATGACTAGTCCAACTCCTAGAAAAATGTAAGTTATGCCACAAAATTCCATCCCCAAGTCGCACATTCAAGTGAAAACAAACATAAATTTTGTATTACATACAAGTTGTATGATTTTAATGTCTTATTGCATAAACCAACAAGTAATTATGAATTTCTTAGGATATTCAAACCCCACAAAAAAATATGTTTGATTCACTCAAATTGCATAACCACACTTGTTTATGCAGTATTTTTATGCTTTAAACATGGCTAGTTACAAAATTTTAACCTATTGCGAAAAGATAATTCATTATGTAATACACAGTGCTTCACAAAAGATAAATTCCAAAAGAATCTGACATGAGTTAAACACAAACTTGGCATGGGAATACATATCTATCTTACAATTACTGGGGATTGATGCATGATTTAATGAGTTTTAAGTTGGCATAGTAGTTCTTTGATTTCTTTGGCAGTCTTGATAGTTTGATGCCAGACAATATGACAGGTATCATGTAAAATCAACAGAAGATACATGGGATGTTCTCAGAATTGGATATTTGATGTGTTAGTGTAGTTCATGTAGTTAAAACGTTATAACATGTTTCAATGGTGGGCATGGGCATGCCTAGCAAGCTTGCATTGAAGAGTCGAAGAGTCTCACGATTCTAGTGTGTCTGGCTTACAGACTTCATCTGAATGTATTGTTCCATGATCTACTTGATGCAGCGATCATATTGTTCTGTCCTGAAAGTGTAAAGCTGTTCAAATGATGTCGTTGCTTGGATGAAAATGTTTAATTGTTTAATTTCTTCCCATCTCAGTTCTTTTCATCATTAGCATTTAATTGAAGTTGCTTTGAGTGGATTTGCAATTTAGCATACAATTATTTTTGTCACATATGCTTTTGCTTTATCATGTATGTCACTTCTAACTGATATCTTTTTTTTTCTTTTTTTATTAGGCACAATTATCTGCACGACTTACCTTCATTAGATCCAGAATTGTATCATCATCTTCTGTTTTTAAAGGTAAAACGGACTTGTTGTCTTTTGGTTTCTACTTTCATGACAAGAAAACACCTACTTTATGTTTCCTATTATAATGATTCCCATCATGAAGATGTATCAAATTGGCATGACAATTTGGAGTAATTTCTATGATAAAGAGAAATATGGAATCAACATCCATTTTGTCCGTGGATTAACCAACTAGACTCTTTCCTCTCCTCAGCCCTTCTCTCTGTGAAAAGTATAGTTTGTGACAAGCATATTTGTAATTTCCCATTTTATTCAGGCAAAGTTTTATGTGAATATCATCTCACTTAATCTTAAATTTCCCAACATTCGTGGGTTGTCTTATAGTAGATGGCAGTTAATATTATGCCAACTAAATTGCAGTTTACACAAGTATCATTGTTATATATCTTTTTCTTTTTTTGGTGTGTGCTTGTGCATGCACTGGTCTATCCCATTCTTATTCAAATTCTCACAATATTTTGCATTCTGAATTTATCTGCAGCGTTATAAAGGTGACATTTCAGAGCTAGAACTCTATTTTGTTATTATCAACAATGAATATGGGGAGAATGCAGAAGAGGAGTTGAGACCAGGAGGGAAAAACATCCGTGTTACTAATGATAATGTTATTCAGTATATTCATCTAGTTGCCAATCATCGTTTGAATTACCAGGTATGGTCATGTTATATTATTGTATTTTTTTTCTTGATGCAAGTATTATCATGCCATGTTGCATACTCTTCCTTGAGAGGATTCTTAAACTTCACCAATTTCCTTTATAGATACGGCATCAAAGTCAACATTTTCTGCGAGGATTTCAGAAACTCATAAAGAAGGAATGGATTGAAATGTTCAATGAGAATGAAATTCAGGTACACAGATTGTTCACTTCTATATTTAAGTCTGAATAATTTTCAAATCATGGCATAAACCAAAAAAAAAAATCTTTATTAAAAAGAGTTTCAAAGTAGTATAAAAAGGAGATACTTCATTGCAAGGTAATTGTACATATGACATTAGAAAGTTCCTTTCTCGCTTTTGCTGATCATATGACTAATTCAGCCCTATATATGGGAATTAGTATTTGATGAGCTGCATTAAAATGCTCGTATAATAATGTGTTTGTTCCTGCATATTGTCAGATAGCATGATGTGATTTTTACTTTTAATGTAAACGTGTTTTGTTTAGCTATTTCTTTTTGGTTATAATTGTTTATGCTTTGATATGACACTGAATTTATGTGGTTATTTTCACATGAAAAAGGGTTTGTTTAGCTGCTTGTTATCTATAATTGTTTATGAGTCGCTATGCCACTGAATTTAGCTTGGCTAACTGTTGGATATTCCTTTCAGCTCCTTATATCAGGATCACTTGAAAGCCTAGATGTGGATGACCTCCGTTCTAACGCTCATTATTCTGGTGGTTATCATGCGGTAAGTTGGACCATCGTTATGCATGCATTTAAATATATATGTATGTATGTATGTATGTATGTATGTATGTATGTATGTATATGCAAATATTTTAAATACAACTTTGGTGTGTGGTCAAGGGCAAAACATGCAGAGGAAATACAATAGAAGGATGATAAATATATGAAAAATATTGCTAATGTGATAAAAATCGTTTATCATAAAATAAATTATTGTCTAAAAAAGACATTCACTTGACCAATAAATTAGTTAGAAAATACCAACAGGTGAAAAAAATGGAGAAATAATTTCTGCTTATGTTTAAAAAATCAAAGATTTTAAACAATATTCGCACACACAAGCTAATGAAATGATTCAAACTAACACATGTTTTGTAAAGAATATGATATCAGAAAAAGAATGTGTGGTGCATGTAAAGGATATGAAAGATGCAAGAATGAATGCACTGGCAGAGCTGGAGGGACTGGAGGGGGCCATGGCCCTCTTAGCTTCAACAAGATATGCATAAAAATAATATATATAGTATACACTAGATTTTTACATTTATATGCACATGTTCTCTTTGACGGTTTTCATATTAGTCCCTTAAATCTTCTATAAATTCTAATACCCAAGAATTCTTAAGTTATTTTGAAATTAGCTCCTCAAATCAATGAAATTGCTATTAGGTCCCTCCAATTCTTATAAGTTTTTCTTCCAAATTAACCCATCTAATTGCTACTTATACTCTTTATTGGAGGGACTAGTTTCAAAAAATATAAAAAATGGCCGTGGATCTGTTGTTGAGAATGATTAATTGGCTAAGCTATGGATCTATGGATGAGAAACATTAAGTGACCCAACTAATACATTAGTAAATATAATATCACTCGATTCTCAATTAAAACAAGACGACCCTTTTTTCCACTTCTTCCGAGACTCGGTTTCTAAGGTTTGCAATCAAGTACTGACATCTCCCATGAGCTCATGACTAGCGTCTTGCAGGTTTGCATTTTGTAATTTGTGATTATGGAAAAACCAACTGCAATTTGATTCAATGATCGGTGGATATGTCGAGATGATTAATTCATGAGAATATTTTTTTGTAAACTTGCATTCTAGGTTCTCCTTTGATACAGGAGATCAAGCATTGGACGAGACAAGAAGAAAAGCACCCGTGTCGACTCGGACTTCAGATTAGAGATCAAGCATTGGACGAGACAAGAAGAAAAGCACCCGTGTCGACTCGGACTTCAGATTAGGAAAGAGTTCTTTTGGTTATTTCCTTTTTGAAGAAGAAAAGCACCCGTGTCGACTCGGACTTCAGATTAGGAAAGAGTTCTTTTGGTTATTTCCTTTTTGATTAGGAAAGAGTTCTTTTGGTTATTTCCTTTTAGATTAGGAAAAAGTTCTTTTGGTTATTTCCTTTTAGATTAGGAAAGAGTTCCTTTTTGGTTATTTCCTTTTAGATTTAGACTTTTTTTTATTAGAGTTAGGATAGGTTTAGTTGGCTATAAATAATAGTTCATTTTGTAAATCAAGTAATTAACTGTTAATTATTCAATCAAGAGAATTGTTCTCCATTATTTTTCTTCTCAAGTTTGAGAAATCTAAGGCTTGTGGATTCAAGCTTGTTTTCTACCTGCTATTGTCAGGGCTCGTTGGCATCAGAACAATATCCGATCGGCCTCCCCGTTTTTACGTATGCATCAAGTGGTATCAGAGCATCGGCTTCAACATTCTCGACAATGACAGGTGACGGTGAGAAGGAACTTTCTCTACAGGATCTTTCTACGAGGATGGATTCTATGGATGAAAGATTTGGCACGTTGGAGGCGTCTCTTCAGAACCTTCAACAAGCCATTAAAGGACTTACCCTTTACCTCAACAATGAGAATAATTTCGCCGACGGTCTTCACCTAAGCATACCCAAAGTTAGACTACCCTGACATCTACCCACGTACAATCCCCAACTCTCTCCAGTTCATCCCCCTCCATATCAACCACGTCCAAACCCAACCCCTCCATATCAGCCCCCTCCGTATCGACCTCCTCCACATCAACCCCCTCCACATCATAAACGACATCCCAACCAACCCCCTCCACATCATAAACGACATCCCAACCAACCCCCTTCACACAATGAATCCAGTGACGAAGGAGCAGACTATGATGTCCTATTTGAGGGATCATGGCACGACAACGTCTCGAGCGAAGGAGGGCGACCTTATGGCAGAAGTCGAGGCAGAGGCTACAACCCTCGTCATAACTACCACCGACAAGGTTGACATCATCATGAATAAGAATATCTGATAAAGGTAGAGCTTCCTTCCTTTGGAGGAAATCTAGACATAGAGGCTAATTCTTGGATTAGCTATATGAAGTGGAGAAGTTTTTTGAGATGGCTAATGTACCCGAAGCAAATCAAGTAAAGTTTGTGGCATATTGTCTCAAAGGAGGAGCCGCGACATGGTGGGATCAAACTCAAAACACTAGGCGACGGCAAGACAAACAACCAGTTCGGGTTTGACGACGCATGAAGCAATTACTCCAGGCTAGGTTCCTACCACCCGACTACCAACAGATCCTTTACAACCAGTTCGAGCAATGCCGTCAAGGAATCTGAACAATAAGCGCCTATACCGAAGAGTTCTTCCGTCTTCTCGTTGCGATTTGTCGATGAGCAAGAAGCAACTCGCGACCAAATATTTCGAAGGTTAGAAATATTCAATTCAAGAGAAGGTGACCATCCACGTGTATTCTGTGAACGAAGCCCATAACATGGCTCTTAAGACGGAAAGATTGACCTCCAATGCGTTACCTTTCAGACAAGCCGAAGAGGGACGTTCGATCGAGAAAGCGAGAGATGAGTCGGCCGGGCAAAGGACGACTGATCGGTCTGTTCCTCCACGGTCGGCCGAGCGGTCGACAACTCAACTGCAGCCCCCGGCAACTTAAGCAAATACGTATGCCAAGCCGACTGCAGAAAAGTGCTTCAGATGTCTCCAACCAGGACACAAGTCCAACGAGTGCCCGCAACGGTGGAAGGTTAATCTAGCGGATTATGAAGAGGCGGAGGACGGACACACTGCATCTGAAGAAGAGTATGAGGAAGAAGTTGCCGAGATTGAGGGCGACAACGTGTCGTGTGTTGTTCAAAGACTCATATGCACTCAGAAGACACCAGATTCATCACAACGACACCAAATATTTTTTTTCTAAGTGTTCGGTCAACAACAAAGTGTGCACCCTCATCATTGATTATGGAAGATGTGAAAATAGTGTCAAAGACCTTGGTGGACCACGTGAAGCTGCCAACTGAAGCAAAACCCGTACCTTATACCATCGGCTGGATCAAGAAGGGTCCCTCCGTGAAGGTGACCGAAGTATGTCGCGTACCGCTATCACTAGGCAAGACTTATAGTGATTCTGTTGCTTATGATGTTGTGGATATGGATGCGTATCATGTATCGTTGGGACGACCGTAGCAGTATGATGTCAATACTAAGCATGGCGGCAAGAAGAACGAATACTCTTTCGTATGGATGAACAAGAATATTTTACCACCAATTCCACCCTCTCTGAAGAACCCAAAGGATCAAAAATTCAAACGTATTTCTCTTTGTAACAAGGGAGAGTTTCTAGCCGAATTGAAGGAGTTGAAGCAGAGATTTTCTTTAGTTGTTAAAGAAGAAGTGAAGACTCGTTAAGGTTCCAAAGAAGATGAAGCCGCTGTTTAAGGAGTTCGAAGTGTTGGTTTCCGAGGAGCTGCCAGAGGGTCTTTCACCCATGAGGGATATTCAGCACCACATTGACTTTATCCCGGGTTCAATGCTTCCTAATCTCCCTCATTATCGCATGAACCCGTAGGAGAAGAAGGTTTTGCAGGATACCATTGAGAAAGCCAATGCAAAGTTCAAGGCGCGAGCGGACAAGAAGAGGCGACTCAAGGTCCTCAAGAAGATCCTTAAGAAGATCAATGATAATGCATATGTAGTGGATCTTCCAGAAGGAATGGCTATGTTGAAGACATTCAACGTGTCAGATATTTCTGATTATTATCCTTCAATCAAGTTGTATTCGAGTGATGCGAACTCAGAGACAAGTTCTTCTGAAGGAGGGACCGATACAAGAGATCAAACATTGGACGAGACAAGAAGAAAAGCACCCGTGTTGACTCGGACTTCAGATTAGGAAATAGTCCTTTTGGTTATTTTCTTTTTGATTAGGAAAGAGTTCTTTTGGTTTTTTTTTTTTTGATTAGAAAAGAATTCTTTTGGTTTTTTTTTTATTATTAGGAAAGAGTTTTTTGGTTATTTTCTTTTTGATTAGGAAATAGTTCTTTTGGTTATTTTCTTTTAGATTAGGAAAGAGTTTTTTTGGTTACTTTCTTTTAGATTAGGAAAGAGTTCCTTTTTGGTTATTTTCTTTTAGATTCAGACTTTATTTTTTGTTAAAGTTAGGATAGGTTTAGTTGGTTATAAATAATAGTTCCATTTGTAAATCAAGTAATTAACTGTCAATTATTCAATCAAGAGAATTGTTCTCCATTGTTTTTCTTCTCAAGTTTGAGAAACCTAGGGCTTGTGGATTCAAGCTTGTTTTCTACCTGCTATTGTCAGGGCTTGTCAGCATCAGAACGATATCCGATCGAATATATCCTGGCTTCGCCACTGAACACATGCAAGAAGTTCTTAAGGAATGCATGCTTTCTAGCTTATTCTAATCCTTTTGCACTCATCCTAGAAAATGTAAAACTAGTCGTGAACTCGCTTTGTGTTTTCTTTGATCTTCTCTAATATCTAAGTTTACAAATTACTGAAGTTCTAAGACATTTTTCCTCCAATTGATGTTGCGTGAAAGAGCATGTTGCCTTCATCTTCCTTAATATGTCCCTGGGTATCAATATTGTAAAATTTCTGCTTAGTATTAGTGGTTTAGTACTAGATGGAACAATAGGTCTGACAACAACCTTGACGTCTTGTATTGAGATCAATACATGTCTGCAGTAATTATCTTTTCTTTGGGTCCAATACCATAACCTCAGCCTAGAAGTACTAACAACAGTTCTGGCAGGATCACCCTGTGATTGAGATGTTTTGGGAAGTTCTTAAAAGCTTTTCCATGGAGCACCAGAAGAAATTTCTGAAGTAAGTCCATTCATTTCTTTCATACTTGTTGATTCCTTTGGTAAAACTTCTTTCTTTTTTGCATACATCAGAAGATATCATTTCTTTTTGATATACGGTTCTGCTGCACTTTGTCCAGGAGTGCATATGCATAATATATGGATCAATGCTGATTTCATATCTTAGTATTTTATATTTATGTGTATGTTAAAATATTCAAGAGAAGAAAAATTTAAAAAATATATGAGACTATAGTAATGAAGTAACTCAGAAAAAAAGAAGATAATTTCAAGGTTGTTAGATTTTAGAGGCATATTGAGAATAAGTAGCAGTATCAACAGCATGAATTTACTCAATGTGGAACTATAACGAGAAGTTTGGGAAAAAATAGAAAGAAGAGGAAGAAATTGAAGAAAAGTAGAAAACTAATTACATTCTTGTTGCCTACAATCACATCATGCTCACTATTGATGGTCACTGTTATATTATCATTATTGAATACGTTCTTGTTATTTCGTTAATGGAGGCACCCTCAATCAGTGTGGTATTTGAAGAGGAAAGAAATTAGGAAGTTGAATTTGAGGAAAAATAGGATTGCGGTTGAGTTCTAGGTATTTAAAGTAATGGGTTTTGTGGGAACAGAAATGCAAAAGTTGTTGGGTTTGGACTCGATCTCAAAAGCTAATTATGCTTTTTCTGTGTAATCACTTACATTGGTGTATAATCTGGATGGGCCCAACACGAGATGACTATTTCAGTATTTCTTTACCATCATAGAGTCAGTTTCATGTAAAACTGGGCCACATATGTTTATGCGATAGCTTCTGCAGCCACGTAAATTTTATCTTTAAAATTCCAAAAGATTACATAGTTTTCAAATTGTGTCCTTGATACAGAATTCATGATCTTGACACTCTCATGCTATGTTACCTAGGTACTTCTAATTTGAAGTTGGGTACTTCTAATTTGAAGCTGTGCCCGTACTAGACACATATCCATACCCATACCTATACCTAAACTCCTTGGGCACTCCTTGCATATATGCATATATTTATTGAGACTGTAATCAATTATACAAATCATGTTTTAATTTAAAATCATTGTCATACATGTTTTGGACAAATATCCTACAATTCACATTCACTTCTTGAAAGTTGTTGGACGTAGGTTAGGTTCTGAATTATGATTTTAAAAGGTCATTTGGAAGTCTAGTTAAAAAACTAGTGATTTTCCCAATTTATAATCCACATAATAAAAGAAACATAAAATATTATAGGAAATTTAATTCTCATCCTTGTTCCCATATAAATTATTAATTTCAATATATATTATATGTGTATATAGGTATTTATATAGCCGTCCCTGTACCCTACATTTTACAAATTTGCCGTCCTGTATCCGACCTGTACCTGTACTCATGCAACATAGCTCTCATGTATTACAACAATGCCAATCATTTCTAGGTTTGAAATTGTCAATATTGTTAAAGTTAATATGATTTATAATTTTTTGGATATTTAAGAGTAACCTAAATTATATGTTAAAAGGATATTTATATTGAAATGCACCAAAGATTTCAGAGATCTAGTTTAGTTCACATGACATACAAATGGATCTTGTATCTATTTAACGACATATGTAAAGTTTGGAAGATATATGCCATCAAGTTGGTTGATAATTTTCAGGTTTGTGACTGGATGCTCTCGAGGGCCACTTCTTGGATTCAAGTACCTTGAGCCGAAATTCTGTATACAGAGGTTCAATATGCCTTTTGTTTGTTTTTTCTCTAGACGATAGTACTTGATTATTGACTGAGCTTTCTTCAACCATAGAACTGCCTCTTTACATCTCGTTGATGCGGATCTTGATCGCTTGCCTACTTCAGCTACTTGCATGAATCTGCTAAAGCTCCCACCATATAACAGGTCAGAAAGTGAGCTTTTCGATTTATTTTCAGATTCCAAGCATCTGGCATAACAACATATTATTTTTTTGAGTTGCCTAAGTGATAATCTTTTGCCGTAAGGAATTTCATTTAAGAGGATATGGTAGAGAAGAGAGTTCAGAGTTAGGAGCTAAATTGTCTTGATGTTTCTTTATATAGCTGAAACTTGAAAGGAAATTCAGGGTTATTGAACCTGAATCCCAACTTTGAAGTAAAGTTTTCATTGTTTAAAGTCGAGTTATTTTTCTGCATGACTTCTAGAGAGCAACTGACCATAAACAGGAAACACGGAAGTACATGCTCATCTCAGACCGGTTACCTTCTCTTTCTATCATATGAATGAACTTCTATTTAATTATCATTCTAGGATACCCAACAATTGTTTATCTTAGGTACTTATCTGTCTTAGGTACATTAAAGTTGCAAGTGGTGGCTGAGAGTGGCCTCTTTGTATTTGTTGGCTGAGAGTGAGTTGTAACCTTTCGTATTTGTTCTTTTACAAAAAAATCCATCAATTTTATGGACAATTCATGCATGCATGATGTTCAAGATATGATTTGTGATCTACATACATTTTAACTTTGCACAGTGTGGGTTATGAATTTATTGCGGAATATAGTGGCATTTGAGTATCCATAGTAGCGGACATTGACCTTCATGTATTAAATTCAATGTGCATCAAAGTTTCGTTGGTTTAATCAAGATATTAAGATTCAAGAATTCACAAAATAGACGATTTGAAGTTTCTGAAAGTTCTACACTTAATAGTTTTATCCATTGTTTGGAAGGCATCAAACCTTTAAAATTCATCCGCATATATAAGTTTCTTAATATGTAGAACAAGATGGACTGTGACGATCATTAATTTGGATGTAACTGTTTGGGCCATCTCTAGGTAACATCTCATCTCACTATCTTATTTTGTACCTTTGAGGAAAAAAGTTTATTTTTACTAAACAATCAATATGCTCCTTGCCATGTTGATTCTATGATATAAAAGTGAAAAATACACTGTAGCTATTGGTGATCCAGTCATAAAGGTGGATATTCTTTTATGGTCTTCTTTGTTTCCACTTGCATCAATGTTTTTCAAAGTTCAAGAGACTTCGATTTCAAAAGCTTTTCCAAATGCCAAGTATACAACCTCCCATGTAAAGTCTACTCTATGCCATACAGAAATATTGACCTTAAAGAATAGTTAAGGGATGTCTTTTTATGTTTTTATGATTGTCCAGTTCTTAGCTTGCTTAGATATCAAAAATTGTATAAGCATTTATTTTGACACTTTTAGTTCTCTCTGAATGACAGCAAAGAGCAAATGCAAGCCAAATTGATGTATGCAATCAACGCAGATGCTGGCTTTGATCTGAGCTAAAAGAAAGATAAAAATAAACTTGTGACAACTTCCCTCCCTCCAAAAGAAGCCTAGTCTTCGCTGTTTAAACACCAAAACCATACAAAGAAGATTTCATGGTTTTCATACAGCACCATCGGCCCGGATTTGGTAATATTGGTTCTGATGGAAGAGAACCGGCTCTAGTTTAAGACAGCAATCCGTGAAAAATAACATGTATATATTGAAAATTTTCATGTAATCTATGTGACAGCTGTACATATCTCTCTTTGTGGTTCTCATAGAAATGTATCATTCGTGGGATCAGCTTTGGGCTGTTACCGGTATCATATTTGTTTCGCTAAAGATTTGGAACCATGTTAATGAAAAAAATGATCCAGATGTACTCTTCTTTTTCTCTTCTTTATCCTTACGAGTACACTTCTTCTTTATCCTTACGAGTACACTTCGCCATGAAGATTCGGAAGGAATTTGAGTACATTTGTTAATTAGTAATTAGTAAATATGTAAATATGGATGTGTAGATTCAATGTTAGTGCTGAAATTTCAGCATGTAAATATCTGGTATTCGTTTGATGATGTAAACGGGGTCATCTTCTATTGCATTGTCATAATGTTCACTCTCTGGAATGTAGCAACGAGCGATGGTATCTTTGCTTTAGAAAGGAAAAAGGTGAAAGAAGGATTGACTCCCTCTTTTCCCCTTTAACGTCCCACAAATATTCCCAATTTTTTTCTTAGCACACTCCAAGAAAATTACCTACGCACGGTTACATGATTGTAAGTTGCACATTGAAGATTAATGTCAGCAAAAGTTCAAATGAATGCATACCCTATAATTTGATTGCTCAATACAGATTCAACCAAGTCGCACCACTCCAAAACTGTATGCAAAAAAGTACTTGTACAATATTCAATATTTATATATATCCTACAGTGTCAAAAACATGTTTGCCAACAGGAAGGATGATATGCTGCATTTTATGTATACGTCCGTTCCCTTATGTTCACTAAGGTCATTGCCTTAGACGACACTGAATGCTGACTGCAACGTAGAAGAGAAACGAGAAGCAATAGTCTCAGAAGCAAATTGCTGGATCTGTTTCTTGGCATCTGAAGAACAATAAAATACAATAAATTACAATCCAAATAAAAAGCAAAACGAGTTCCATGTCTAATTTAGATAAAGCTGGACATCACATGGAAACAAAAAGTCTATATTTGCACTATAATATAAAATCAGACTGCAAGTCATTTGCGATCTGTGCGTCTATATTTGCACACTATAATATAAAATCAGACTGCAAGTCATTTGCGATCTGTGCGTCTATATTTGCACACTATAATATAAAATCAGACTGCAAGTCATTTGCGATCTGTGCGTCTATATTTGCACACTATAATATAAAATCAGACTGCAAGTCATTTGCGATCTGTGCGTCTATATTTGCACACTATAATATAAAATCAGACTGCAAGTCATTTGCGATCTGTGCGTCTATATTTGCACACTATAATATAAAATCAGACTGCAAGTCATTTGCGATCTGTGCGTCTATATTTGCACACTATAATATAAAATCAGACTGCAAGTCATTTGCGATCTGTGCGTCTATATTTGCACACTATAATATAAAATCAGACTGCAAGTCATTTGCGATCTGTGCGTCTATATTTGCACACTATAATATAAAATCAGACTGCAAGTCATTTGCGATCTGTGCGTCTATATTTGCACACTATAATATAAAATCAGACTGCAAGTCATTTGCGATCTGTGCGTCTATATTTGCACACTATAATATAAAATCAGACTGCAAGTCATTTGCGATCTGTGCGTCTATATTTGCACACTATAATATAAAATCAGACTGCAAGTCATTTGCGATCTGTGCGTCTATATTTGCACACTATAATATAAAATCAGACTGCAAGTCATTTGCGATCTGTGCGTCTATATTTGCACACTATAATATAAAATCAGACTGCAAGTCATTTGCGATCTGTGCGTCTATATTTGCACAGGCAAAGTTTTGAAGAACACAAGGTCATTAAGGAAAATAAGTAGATCTGATAGGATGATAGTCGAGCGACAAGGAATGGAGTAAACCTAAACAACATAGAATGAGACACTAAACAGTGAGCAACACACTCCTGATTTATCTAAACAAACCATGCTCAGGAACTAATACTCTTCTAGCAGAACATTGAAGATCTTGGCCATTTTAGCTGTCACCAGGACACAGAAGAAAGAATCTGCAAGCATCATTTAGGGTAACCACCAATTCCAACTACAGGTCAACTGTCCAAAAATTCCATGTACAGATAACGATATATTGTACAAATTCATCGTACATTTTAGATTTAAAATACCATGGAACACACATCTGTCCACCTAAGCCAATAACCTATTATTTGCTCACATCTGTTAATTTTAGCAGGACAGAAACTACAAAAATATAATAATATAATTCCATGATTTCCATATTTCCAAAAAAAAAAAAAGATTGATTGTGCACATTGTTCACTCACCAACTAGTCAAAACAAATTGACATTGAAAATGTAGCCCCCAAAAAATGCTAAATCTTGAGGCTAATGTCTTTCGCCCTACTGTTAATTTGCATACCCCTGGAATTCCAGGTGGAACTAGGATCATGATATTGAAATCCATGGTATTTCAATCCAAAATGTATTTTTATGGTCTCCAGGGACTGGGATGCTGACATTCAATGAGTTTCTGTTCCAAATGATATGCTAAAATCCAAGGGGGCACTGCTACATCCAATGAGTCTCTGCTCCATTGTTTGCTTGAAAGTTGCACGCAATTGCTAAATATATTTTATGTTGTTCTTTTAGTTTGAAAAGTGATTTAAAGAAAACCCAGTAAACACCATGACTTCGGTTAGACTCTGACGCCTCGTTTGGTAAGCGAGAATGGAGTTAAGTGAGAATGAAAAGAAGATAGGAATGGAACGGAACAGATGTGGGAATGGAATGCACATTCTCATTCTCATGTTTGGGAGCGTTTAGAGAGTGAAACGGGAATGACATCTTATTCTCATTCCCATGTTTGGTATCATTTGTTCACAAGTGAGAATAAAATTTAGTTTTCTAATAATGTCCTTACAAAAACACAGAATTTTAAAAACATAAAAATATTTTAAAAATGACTAAATAATTCATTTTTTTAGAAAAATAAGTTTTATAGAAATGATATTTTTTTATAAAAATAATTTTTCAGTTGATAGTTATATTTTGGTATATCGCCTCAGCAACAATTTCAAACTTTTGGCTTACTAATTGAAAAATAATTTTCATAGAAATTATTTTTTATTTGAAATAATTATAATTCAACATTTCTAACTTCTAATGGTACATGTCTATTACTTGTACGAGCAGCTAATGCTACTAGCATCACTGTCCACAAACGTATACAATAGACAGAATTTCATATGCATGCTACATGATTTATGACTAAATTCCGTGTGCATGCATGAAGAGAGAGATCGTAAGAAAACACTAAATTTTAAAGGATTGGAAAAACATGTTATATTTTAGTCTGTATATAAAATTTCTATGAAATTTCAAATGAACCTTTAACTTACAAAAAATTGAGTAGGAATTGGAAAAAATGTTAATCTAGAAAGTTTGAATAAATAGAAAACATGTTAGCCTCTAATCAAAATATAAAGTTCCAATCTCATCAATTAAGTACATTATTTCTGGTTGTGAGTGCTTTGAAAAAATTACTGAAAAGATTAGACATATATGCTTCAATAACTTCAAATCATACATCCAAAGATAAAATATTTGCTAACCTAATTGCCAATAGATTACGCAAACGAGTTGCCAAAAGATAAAAAATTACTGTAAAGATTAGGTAAAGATTAGACACACATACATATTTTAAAAAGAAATAATGGTTACTTAACCGAGTCGCGTCGAGGCGAAGTTGAGATTTTTTTTTCTATTGTAGACGCGATCAAAACAGGGCGAAGTCGAACAAATAATAGTATTTTAATATTTTACATCTATTCTTATATTTGTACGAGCAGCTAATGATAATATTTCTATAGAAATAATTTTTCATATAAGAATTTATACCTATTTGTATCTTTCAAGGAGGGTATAATCGAAAATTATTTGATTATTTTATTCTCAGTTAAGTGGGAATATCAATTCCTTGTTAAATGGTTGGGAATTACAATTCCCACATAAAGTGGGAATTGATAAGAAGTGGGAATGACAATCTAGCGTCTAAAAGTACATCGTGTTTGATACGCATGAATAAAGAGTTGGAATTGTATTCCATTCCTACTCATTCCATCGTACCAAACGAGGTGTGAGAGTAAATTCCTATAATCCTATGCATGCCTCCTCAACAGAAATAGAATCAGACTTCCACAATGAAATTGAAGTTTTAAATTACGAAAAGCCAAACAATAGGAAATTTGAACTAGATCGCAGAATTGGAATTCATGAAGTTCCAAAGTATATGCACCAACTTGATAGGGATTAGGGAAACAACAAACACGAAAGCTACTACTATATTAGCATTTTATCAGACCATCCAAAAGATCCAAGTAAAGATAACTACAGGGTATGAAGCAGTAGCGTGTCTGAATGATGATAAGCTATCAAAATAAATTTGGCATATAGGACCAAGTTATGCTAGAAAATTATGACTACCAGGAGCGTAAGCAAACTTTTAAATAAGGAGGCCAATAATGAGTGAACAGATCTGTGTGTCATCCTTAAATCATAGTGCTGAAGAATGATATATTCATAATATTAGTAAAAGGAGAATGTGATGGTTGGAGATATCAGCAACGTCTAAAGTTGTAAGTCACGAGGTTTGCAGGTTATTCAGGATCAATGCAAGCACTGAGCTTTATCTCTAATAGCCATTGTTTTAAATATCCCCGACATGGCCCGATATATCCCCCAATATATCCTTTCACAGGGCTTGCCGCAACCGATATGATCTCTAAATATCCTTTACCGCATTTTGGCTATTTTGGGCGTTATATCCCTAATGTAGCCGATATATCGGCTGATATATCAGCCGATATGTTGGCCGATATATCCTTTTATGACTTGTCACAAAATAGTATACTGTGTTTGGCAATTTTTGGGCGAGATACCATGTTTTTCCATTATATCAAATGACGTTTTGACCTACAAAAAAAAATCTGACGATATGTAGCAATGTTGATTTGTACTTTTGTTTATTTTATAAGGTTGATTAGTGATCCTAAACATATACTATTTACATTTTGTATACTTAGATTTCATTAAGTATGTTGAGATTACATTTTAGTACATTATACTACATATGCAAACATCCATTTTGTCATTCCGATCTTTACCACATATCCCCGATATCCGCAATCCGATATGAATTTTGGCCATCCGATATTTTCCCAAAATCCGATATTTAAAACCTTGCTAATAGCAACATCGGGTAAATTATGACGTATAATAACAGTACTATGCATGCTCAAATTTACAACCAGCAGATCATATTATGATGATTCTATAACATGTATGTATATGCAAGAACAGAATTTCAGAGAACAGAAAATGTTGCTTACCTTTGCGGCATTTAGTAAAACCAATGATATTTGCAAGGCTAAGTGTCAAGCATACCCCAACTACTAGTAGATAATCAGCTTGAAATCTTATAAGTGAAAATATTCCAAGGAAAATCCAAGCAACAGCCTGCATAGGAAGAAAAAGATTTAATATAAAACATCAATACGTTGTAAGTTTAAAAACTATAAGTGGATAAAAGCTTTTAGTTAAATCATTCTCCCTTAGCCTCGGCTTGACAGGCTTGCAAGAAATTCCTTGTGTTCTTCTTCCCAGGTTATGCAATTTTAGGTGCACGCCTATGGAGGAACCAAGCATTCACAACCTCAACTTAAACGAATAAATATGATGCTTGAGATGCCGTGAGAATGTGGCCAATCACTTCACATAAATAATTTAAATTGCAAACTATTTTGGTGGTTGACCCTAAATTTGACTTCAGTGTAAAAATAACAATTATTGTATCTATCCAAGACACTTACTGAGAGATAGATTGTCCACCAAAAGAGCCATGTATCCTTCTTGTTCATCCGAGCAAGAGACTGATCACAAAGCAACAAAAGGCATGAGACAAATGGAAAATTCCATTAAAAAACCCAGAAATGTGCTATAAAAGAACATAAAAACCTCTTGGTCAAGGCATTCAAACTTCCACACGCTTTCTCCTTGCTCATTAATCTCGTTCCACCACCTCAGCCCAACCAATATCCGTCCGCTAACATTCTTAACAACCCAGAAATCAAGTGCAGCAAGAAAGACAGTGACCACAAATATGATCACGAAGCTATTAAAGAAGAGAGCAGAGAGTATGTAAAATGCCAACGCTGCAGCCTGCCAGTTTCCCATATCAAATGTGAAGATTGTCATAGAGACATAATATGCAAGAGAGGAATAACCAATAAAGCTAAATCCTTAACCTTGAAGAGAACATGAAAGAAACAAGTCCTCGGGTTCGCATAGTTTTCTGCCGGAGGCTGCATAAAGATATTATATCTGGAGATTAGAGCGATACCTTATCCAAATTGAAATGTGCTAGTGTTAATTTAGTCCGGTATTGATGGTTTTATTGTACATAAAACTAGCTTTTAGTCATAAAATTTCCTATATCTCTAACAAATGCAGAATGCTTTACTTGTTCGAGATCCATTAACATCTAATCACAACTCATTCACATATCTACATAACTTAAATTTCAGTCAAAACGGGGTCAACAGGATTTCATTTTTTATTTATTTTAAAAACACCGTTTCACTCAGAAACATGGGATCCATGTACTAAACTCTAATTATCCCATAATCTGCAGAAAAAAATTCAAAATTCAAAAAAAAAAAAGGGGAACAAATGAAACCCTAGCAGTTCCAATGACAGGGCGCATGGTCAGCATTGAATCCAACGACAGATTTAACACGCGCACGTGTGCACATCATAATTTTCGTGATCCGCGTTAAAATTGGAGCTCAGATTCATCCAGACATCCAAGAACTCAAACCAAAACGAAACCCTAGAGCGCTGTAATCGATCTGGGGCATGAGAACTGATCATACCTGGAATCGATCCATTCGAAAATGCAGAAAATTTAGGGTTTACGTGTCCCAATTCAAGATTTTGACGAGCTGATTTCTCGATTCAGAGAGGATAAACTCTCTCAGGATTAAAAAAAAAACCCCAGCAATTGTTTTTCTCGAGAATGAGGCTGAGTTTTGGATATATTAACGAATTTGCCGCGTTGCAAACCGTGGCCGGTTCGATTCAGTTTGGTTGGGTCCCTTTAAATTTTAACCCGAACCGTTTTCTCAATCGCATGGTTCACCTCACTTAAAATTTTTCCTAACGAGTTTCCATAATTTGATGTCAGTTTAGTTTACTTTGTTTCTTCATTTTCTAGAATACGTCTTACAATATCTTGATAAAGTACAATCTATTCTTTTAGGCATTTGCCAAAACATATAGTTATCTTATTTCGAGTTCCTAATTGCAATTTATGTTTCCTTTAAGCATTTTCCGAGGCATAATAGTTACTTTATCATCGAGTATCTCGCGATTAATTAGCAGCACAATACGTAGATTAATACTGTTTTAAGTGTCGTATTTCTAGGCAGCTGTGGGTTGTAACTAAAGACATGCAAGCTCCTTTTCGCGAAAAAAAAAAAAGCTCAGCTAGTACTTGAACATTTTATTTCGTCTACATTTTTTTAATTTCCCTATTATATTCTTCTCGTTCTCAAATGTGCGAGGCTCTTTTGTACCTTAAAATTTCTCCCCTTTGCGGCAAAGGATGAATATATATATATATATATATTATATATATATATATATATATATATATATATATATAGAGAGAGAGAGAGAGCGGAGAAAAATGGTATACTTGGTACAAGGATCCTTGGTAGTGATGTGGACACATCTTTCCATACATCACACCTTGAGATGAGGCTCACGCAACTTCAAGGTGTGATGTATGCACAAGATGTGTCCACATCACTACCAAGGATCCTTGGCCCAAGTATACCCATATTCCTCATATATATATATATATATATATACTATATATATATATATATATATATATATATGCGCTTGGTACCAAACACAAATTTTGTGCTTAGTAGTGACGTGGCACAATCCCCTCCACTCATTCAAATGGCGGGATCACATTCACATGAGTTGGAGAGTACATGAGGATATGCAATCATTTAAATGAGTGAAGGGGATTATGTCACCTCACTACCAGCACAACTTTTTGTGCTTGGTACCAAGCATACTCATTTTTCCTCATATATATATATATATATATATATATAATATATATATATATATATATATAATATATATATATATTATTTATGAAAGCATATTTCATCTAAAAATGCTCAGCCCATGTTGAAGTTTCCATTATCAGCAAAGCAACCAAAAATGACATTTGGGGGTTGGGGAACTAATGACGTACATCAGAATCCTTTAGAATCACTTATAAGAAACAGTTTGACAAGTTGTAAATGGTAGAACAATATATACTTGCATAAGCTATATATTTACACTCAACATGTTGGAGCAATAAAGCCCAACAAATCTGGAGAAATCAGGCTTGAAATCCCTTTGGAAGTGATGATCTCCACATCAGCCAGTTACTTCTGCAAGCTGTCAATCAAGCTATCATATGTAAACTGTGAGAAATAAGTATTACCCGACAAAATTTGCAAGGATACAAACTATGGAATATATATGTGCATCACAAAATCAAAGGGAACTGGATGCAGAAGCAAAATAAACCGTCTCAAACTATGCAGGTTATGAATAGAGAAATATTTGTCGAGTATAACATCTCTGTACAGTTGTTTTCGAAAAAGCATGCCATTTTCGCTGCACCCAAAGGGTTATATAGCTCCTCATAACGGTTTTATTGTGTGTGTGTAACCACAAATGTAAATTGCAGAATAATACAACTAACTATGTCTAATGATATAGAAAAGCGACAAGAGGTGTTTCGGAAATTGGTGGCATATAGAAACTTTTAGTTGAATTGAAGGATGAACATGAAAGTTTAAACTAGTCTGGAATACACAATAAGTTTTAGGACGCATCAAAACTTTATCTGGCAATAAATCCACAGGGTGTCGAAGAATAAAAAGGAGCCATCCAAGTATCTTGGATTATATATATAATCTTTAACATGAAGCGTAGATTTAGGTCTACTCACGTTTTTGGTACAACGTGAAAGTTTTAACAGTCTTGTTGAGCTAACCATGAAATTATTAATAGCAAAACAGTGTTCAGCATAACACTGTTTAGCAAAAAAAAATAAAAAAGAGTGCAAATAAAATTGGAAGCAAATCGAGATAGAAAATACCTCAGGCGGAGCTTTAGGCAACTCAGTACAAGCCACTTCCTCTATCCAAACTATTTTTCTCTTAAAACTCTCAGCTGTCTCATCCGCCTGACATTAGAAAATACAAAAAGCAAACTACGTAAGCTATCAATATAACATGATGAAGAAATGAATTCCAATGACAGAGTACCTTCTCAAAGACAAGCTTTGGATCCCGAATCATATCGCCAGGTGTAGGTTCCAGCTTTTTGGTAGAAAGACTCAACCGCTTCCTTTCTTCATCATGACTTAGTACCATTACCTTTTCAGTGGGAACAGGACCATTATATAAGCCCAAATAGCTATAAAAAAAGGATTTTCTTCATGTGAGACGCCCAAATCTTTGTTAATACTATGTTAGACACTCAAATCTTCATATTTCTCAATTAGACCCCTAAATCTTCATATTTGTTCAAAATGTAGGTCTTATTTAATACAAGTTAATAGATTTTGGTGTTTTATAACATTTGAAACAACTTAGTAGCTTGGGGGAGTTATCTAAAACAACTTAATAGATTTAGGGGTCTAATTTAGAAATATGAAAGTTTGGGGGTCTAATTTAGAAATATGAAAGTTTGGGGGGTCTAACTTTGGGCTCTACTATGACAAAACCCCAAGCAAGAAACTAAAGCTCAAGGCACCTTAAGGGTATCACCAGGATGTAAAACTGTCGCAATGTCTGAGATCTTCGCATGGCTAATTTGGCTAATATGTAGAAGACCAATCAGTCCACCGACATCGATTAGTGCACCATATGGTCTTAAGCTATGAACGGTTCCAATGACAACCGATCCAATTTCAATCTGTACCTGAGTGTTGGTCATTGTCTTGCGATTACTCAGCACGAGCTGAGATTGTTTCTTGTCAACCTCTATAAACCTCAGAGGAAGTTCCTTATCAAGGAGTTCTTCGGTAGTTGATTTCTAGTTGCATGTTTGAGAATATCATCAATCACTGAAGAAATAATTGCATCAGAATTTAAGTAGCTCTAAACAAATAGAAGGAATTTGCTGTTAAGAGCAAGGTCATGGAAGTCGCTCCAGAATGCTGAACTTTGAGAAGAGAATTACAGAGCAAATAAGATATGCAGAAACTATTGCCTCAGATGAATAGAATATATATATATATATATATATATTATATATATATATATATATATATATATATATATATATATATATATATATAGCAAAACTTGTGTCAACTTAAGTGCATAGCAAAAAAGTTGTCCACCAAACTTTTTAGCCACTCATATTGCATAGGGACTTGCATGATATGGAAAGGTTTTTTATATTAATAAATGAGTGCTAGGATGTTGGTGGACATCAACTTAAGTTGATAGCAGTTTATATATATATATATATATATATATATATATATATATATATATATATATATAATATATATATATATATATATATTGAAGCTGCATTATCTTGTGAAACTTATCTGCAAGCAGTATGCATAATGGATCTTTGATTCTTTATTATACAACAACTTGTTAGTATGCATGAAGTCGATTAATGGACATATTATCTCTTCATGGAACATGCAACAGTGCCTCTCACAGCAAACTATCTAGCAAATACAGGAAAATAGTCATTAGATAAATTTATCTTCCAATAACTTGCATTTCAATTGACATTGACCTATTTATTTGTGAAATTCGAAATGTATTTCTATATGGCAGTGAACCTATTTATGCAACACAAAGTGCAAGCATCAGGGAATAGAAGGATTCTGAGTTCTGAGTAACAGGCCAAGCTGCTAAAGTAGGAAATAATGATAAATCCTGAGAATGAAATACTTCCTACATAAAGCCCATCATTTCCAGTCTCAATAAAAGATATTTATCTATTGAGAATATTCTTCTAAATGAATTAATGAAATTTTCAATTGGATAATATAAAATAACAGAGTGTTAAGAAGGAATTTTAATGAATTATATAGATATGATAAACTGCCTAAATATCTTATTCCCCCTATAGAAGCACTCCTTTGATGTCTCCAAGGAACATGTGGGTGTATCACTATATTTGTACTTAATGATTTAACTTTACCTGAAACCCAAAATAAGAAACTTGTGTCCAGGTTTTTATTCGGAAATGACAGAAGGGAAAACAGAAAGAAAGAAAGTAAAAAGATACAAAGAAGAAAGAAAAATGAAGTAGAAAATAGAAGAGCTCAGAAAAATGAAGTAGAAAATAGAAGAGCTCATATTCCAAATGAGCAACTTCAAACCCAATTGAATTTTCCAAATTCTAAAAGAATAAGATACAAAGGGATTGATCGAGAAACATATAGTGTTCTTATTAGATTACAAAGTCATAATTTGATCATCGCATGTTATTAAAAAGAATAACCTTCTTTGTTATCATAAGGAGATAACAATTTATTTATTTATTGGGTACATAAAATAATCATTCATTATGGCTAGCCTGGTAGGCAATAATTTGCATGAAAGATGTCATTCAAGAACATTGTGTTAAGCAACATTATTGAACAAATATAAATAATAAAATCAAAGAATTCATTCCATAAGCTAAAGGACCAACCTTTGGTATCTCCGAAAATGGCACGAATCCATGAAGGCCCTCCACTACAACTAAGATGCCTCCTTTGTTTTCCCCAACAACCTGCATATTGTATGCAAGACATCAAAAGTATGAAATAAATATATTTGTCATTATCTAAGACAAATCCATTAAACTGTAAGAACAAAAATCCCATTAAATGGAAGAGAAGTTTAACGGACTTGATCCCCACCTTACTCTTGATGATAACATCTTCTGCTTGAAGCTGCTGACACCTTTCCCAAGCAAAATCACATTGAATCAACCTTAAGCTCAAAATCACGCTATCATCTACAACATTCTCACCAATGACAACAAATTCTTGTTGTAAACCAGGATATATGCCTGCCTCTGATACGTGCTTAATTTTGTAAATGCATGATTCCTCAAGAGGTAAAAATGCAGAAGATTTTCCACTTATGTCAACGAAAGCACCATCACTGTTAGTCGTCAAGACCGTTCCTTTGACCTAAAGAAACCAAAAAAAAAAAAAAGATCAATCCATGTTATTTCTTCAACATTAAATTTCACTTAAAATTACAAGCTTCATCAATGACTCTCCTCAGGGTTGTTTGGTATTCTGCACTTGGAAATACAACAAATGCTTTAGTCATGCTTTTTTATTGCTAAATGGCACTTAAATACCTTATAGTTTCACACTATTAGCACTTATACACCCTTAGTTGTATTTCATAGCATTTATATACCCTGAGTTGGTCAAATTTGGCATATTAATACTTATGTTTTGCAAACGTGACATATTTTATTCAAAAGTTCTCATATAATATTTATATGCTATTCTTATAGTATTCTCTATTAAGTTTGTTGAATTCATTGTCAAATCTTTTAAAGTTCTATTTTTAAAATAGAATTATGATTCATTTAAATTAGAATTTAGGTAGGTTTAATAGTAACTTAATAAATTATGATGGTTAGAAAGCTCCAAAATCAACATATGAATGTTATATGGAAATTTTCAGATGAAAATTTTCACGTTTACAAGATATAAGGTATTAAAGTGCCAATTTTGACCAACTAAGGGTACATAAATCCTACAAGTACAATTGAGGGTATATAAGTGCCCAAGGAGTGAAACTATAAGGTATTTAAATGCTATTTAGCCTTTTTTATCTGTTTTGTTTGTTTCGAACCAAGAGCAAATAATTGTCCAAACTTCAACATTCGCGAATCACAAATTTTCATGGGCTATAACCATGATTTGTGTCCATTTACATTCATTTGGCCCAATGACAATTAATTGTGATTACTTCAAAATTCACAATTAATTGTGACTACTTCAAAATTCACAATTTTGAAGGGCAATTATGCCTATTTATTCACAATTTTAGCAATTTTTGTTTATTTCGTTCCAAAGGCTTGTGGTTATACATACTTCACAAACTCGCAATTTTTATAGGCAATAGTCTACGTTTTTTGAGAATTTTCATTCATTTCGACCCAATGACATTTACTTATGCGTAGTCCAATATTCACAATTTTCATGAGTAATTAGCCGCAGTTTTCAAAATTCAAGAATTTCAAAATTCGCAAATTTCCCTACCTATAACCCATAGTTTTATTATTATTATTATTTTGCTCATTTCAATCCAATATCAATTAATCATTCGTATACAAAAATTCACGATTTTCATGTTAGGATCTTTGTTCTTTTTTGTTCATTTCGACCCAATAACAATTATATGTGCGAACTTCAATATTCACAGTTTTCATATGCTATAATCTACAATTTTTGTCCAGTATCATTCATATGAAGCAAATCACAATGAATTATATAACTACTTCAAATCTTAATTTTATTGGGTTATAACCCATGATTTTGGGAAATTTTATTTATTTAGTCCTAATGTAAGTACTAATACATACTTCAAAAATATGCGATTTTCATGAGGCACCAACAATTTTTGTCAATGTTCATTACTCGACCAAATAGCAAATAAGTATGTCCGCTTCAAAATTCATGAGTTTTAATGGGCTATAGTCCATGATTTTTGTTCATATTTGTTCATGTTGACCCCATAGCAATTAATTGTACTAATTTCAATATTTGAAATTTAATGGGCTATAGCCCACGATTTTGTCCATTACCACTCACTCGATCCAATAATAATTAATTATGACTAAACAATTTTTGATTTTGCTAGGTTATTTTAACCTACAATTTTGACAAATTTTAGTTCGTTTCATCCCAACAAATAATAACATGCACTTCAAAATTCGTGATTTTCATGACATATAAACTATGACTTTTGTCACTTTTTCTTCAACTAAATGGGAAATAAGAATATGTAATTCAAAATTAGTGATTTTCATGACCTGTAGCCCATAACTTTTTATCCATTTCCACTTATTTTGACCCAAAATTATTTAATTAAGCTAACTTCAATTTTGGCGATTTTTATGGGCTATAACCCATGATTTTTGTCCATTATTATTCATTTGACCCCATTGCAATTAATCATAACTACTTCAAACCCCAATTTTGATGGGTTATAACCCATGATTTTAGAAGTTTTTATTCATTTCATCGCAATGAAATTAATAATACGCAGTTAAAAAATTCATGATTTTCATTAGTTATAATCCACGGTTTTTGTCAATGTATATTTTTTGACCAAATAACAAATAAGTATGCGTACTTAAAAATTCATGGTTTTAATGAGCTGTAGTCCATGATTTCTGTCCATATCTGTTCATTCGAACCAGATAGCAACTAATTGTACGAACTTCAATTCACATTTTTAATGGGCTATATAACCCACAGATTTTGTTCGTTACCATTCCCTCAATCCAATAACAATTGTTATGACTACCTCAAAATTTTAATTTTGGTAGGTTATTATAACCCATAATTTTAATAATTTTAGTTTGTTTCGTCCCAATTATAACCTACTTTGAAATTTGCGATTTTCATGATCTATCAACCATAATTTTTTTTCCCAATTTTTGGCAACTAAATGGAATATAAGTATACATATTCAAGATTTGTGATTTTCATGGCCTATAGTCAATGACATGTGTCCATATTTTTGGTAAGATCCAAAAGCAATTATTGTGCAAACTTCGATTTTGCAATTTTCATAACACTATAACTCACAATTTTGTCCAAAATCATTCATTCGACCCAATTGTAATTAATTATAACTTAAAACCCTGCTTTTGATGGGTTATATAACCCATAATTTAAGGATTTTTTTTGTTCATTTCGTCCTAATAAAAGTAATAATATATAGTTAAAAATTCGTGATTTCGATCAGCTATAACCCACATTTTTTATCAATGTTTGTTTTTAACTGAATGACAAATAAGTATTTGTACTTGAAAACTCGTGATTTTAATGAGTTATAGTACATGATTTTTGCCCATATTTGTTCATTTCAAACCCCATAGCAATTAATTGTGCAGACTTCAATATTCATAATTTTAATGAGCTATAACCTACGTATTTCATCCATTATTATTCACTCGATCCAGTAATAGTTAATTATGATTACTTTAATTTTTTTTTATTTTGATAGGTTATTATAACTACAATTTTGACCGTTGTAGTTTGTTTCATCCCCGCGACAAGTGATAATAAGTACTACAAAATTTGCGATTTTCATATCTCTGACCAAGAATTTTGTCAATTTTTGTTTTTCAACTAAATAGGAAATAAGTATGTCTACTTTAAAATTTGTGATTTTCATGGCTAATAGCACATGACTTTTGTACCTTTTTTATTTATTTCGACTCAAAAGCAATTAATAGTGCAAACTTTAATTTTAGAGATTTTCATGGGTATATAACCCATGAATTTTTTCCATTATTATTCATTCAACCCAATGACAATTAATTATAGCTTCTTAAAAACCCCAATTTTGATGGGTTACAACCCATGTTTTTGGCAATTTTTATTCATTTTGTCCCAATGCAAGTAATAATACATATTTCAAAATTTGTAATTTTCATGAACTATAATCCACAATTTTTATCAATGATAGTTCTTCAACCAAATAGCAAATAAGTATGCGTGTACTTCAAAATTTGTAATTTAATTGGGCTATAATCCATGATTTTTGTCAATATTTATTTATTTCGAACCCCATGACAATTAATTATACAGACTTAAATATCACAATTTTAATGGGCTATATAATCCATGGATTTTGACCATTAAAATTCACTCAATCCAATAATATTTAATTATGACAACTTAAAAATTTTGACTTTTGATATGATATATATAACCCACGATTTTGACTAATTCAGTTCGTTTTGTCCTAATGAAAAAAACACGTACTTCAAAATTCACAGTTTTCATGATATATAAGCCATGATTTTCGTAAATTTTTGCTTTTCAACTAAATGCAAAACAAGTGTGTAATTCAAATTTTGTGCTTTTCGTGGCCTACAATCCATAAATTTGTTTGTTTTTGTTGGTTTCGACCCAATTTCATTTAATTATGCGAACTTAAAATTTCACGATTTTGGTAGGCTATATAACCCACGATTTTTTTTCCAAGATCATTCATTCGACCCAATTACAATTAACTTTCCAACAAAGATCATTCATTCGACCCAATTACAATTAAATTTCCAACCCAATTTTGATGGGTTGTATAACCCATGATATTGGCAATTTTTATTTATTTCATCACAATGAAAGTAATAATACGTAGTTCAAACTTCATGATTTTCATCAGTTATAACCTATGATTTTTGTTAATGTTTGTTTTTTGGCCAAATAACAAATAAGTATGCGCACTTGAAAATTCATGATTTTAATACGTTATACTCTATTATTTTTGTCCATATTTGTTCATTTCGAACACCAAAGAAATTAACTGTATGGACTTCAACATTCGCATCTTTAATAGGTTATAACCCATGGATTTTGTCCATTATCCTTTACTCAACCCAATAACAATTAATTATCACTTCAAAATTTTCAATTTTGATAGATTATTATGAGTCTATGACCCACGATTTTGACAACTTCAGTTCATTTCGTCTGAACGACAAGTAATAACACGTACTTCAATATTTGCAATTTTAATAATCTATAAACCATGAACTTTTTTGTTAATTTTTGTTTTCCAACTAAATGGAAAATAAGTATACATACTTCAAATTATAGATTTTCATGGCCTACAGACCATGACTTCTGTCCATTTTTTGTTCAACTCAAAAGCAATTAGTTGTATGAACTTTAATTTTCGCAACTTTCATACAATGTTTTGCATTATCATTCATTTGACCCAATTGCAATTAGTTATACATCTAACCTGAATTTTGATGGGTTATAACTTATGACCCTGGATTTTGGCAGTTTTTATTTGTTCCGACCCAATGAAAGTAATAATATGTATTTCAAAATTAGTGATTTTCATGAGCTATAACCCACGGTTTTTGTCAACGTTTGTTTTTTGACCAAATAACAAATAAATGCGTACTTGAAAATAAATGATT